CGGGTGGGGGTGGGGGGGGGAGCCAATGTTTACCATCTTTCAGAGAATGAAAACCCTTTTCCCTGCAAACAAGACCACCCTTATGCACTTAGAACATTTTTTTTCAATATGAACTGATGATACATTTTATGTACATTCATATATTGTGAAAGTATGTATACATGTATTAATATATGAGGCGGCATGGTGATCAAGTGGTTAAGACGTCCGCTTCACAGTGCAGAGGTCATTGCTCTTCTGTGTGGAGTTTGCATCTTCTCCCGTGCCTAGGTGGTTTTTCTCCGGGTACACTGCTTTCCTCCCATGTTGCAAAAACATGCACGGTAGGTTAATTGAACACTCTAAATTGTCCCTAGGTGTGAGTGTGAGCGCGGATGGTTGTTCGTGTCAGTGTGCCCCGCGATTGGGTGTCAAACAGTTCAAGGTGTACCCCGCCTACTGCCCGAAGTCAACTGGGATAGGCCCCAGCACGCCCGTGACCCACATGAACATCCATCCATCCATCCCTCTATTTTCTGATCCGCTTTATCCTCACAAGGGTTGCGGGCGCTCATATTCACACCTATGGACAATTTGGAGTGTTCCATTCAGCTGCCATGCACGTGTTTGGAATGTGGGAGGAAACCGGAGTATCCGGAGAAAACCCACGCAGGCACAGAGAGAACATGCAAACGCCACATAGGAAGGCTGGAGCTGCCCATCGCCATGTTGCTACATATTTTCAAATATATGACCAACTTTCACATATATTGAGGTGCCTTTTCTAATATATTGCCATATAAATTCTACTACTTATATATACAATATCTTTTCATTTCATAAGAGCACAGAACACTGACAGCCTCATTGAGCGTTAAAAACAGAGAGCATAATGGGCTAGGATCCTTGACCTCAATGCCTAGCCTTGTTTCCAAGTTCTGTGTATACGAGAACTGTTGCGGATGTGCTGCATGCCTTGGGAAACCAGAGAGTTTGAAGACAGACGGTGTTTCTCCTTCAGTTTCTTAAGGGTTGGGGTGATGACATCAAATAAACTTTGGACCTAAACACAATAGGGCCAAAGTCTTTTTGACTGAATTTAGAGAGGTAACATTTTACCATCCCCATAATTTAGGTAGCCATACATGTATAGGCCCGAATTAAGAAAAAAAAAAACAAAACAAAACTAACCAACAGCAACAAAAGCCTGTTACAATGAGCCAGACTGAAAGAATCCAAATTAAAATACTTTGTTCATCCCCGTGAGAAAGTTGAGAAGTTGTCTTATTGTCTTCGATTAGTCAAGCTTTAGCATAGCGTACAACATTCTGACAGACTATTGGGTCGGGTGACAGTAGCTGGGCAGGACAGTGTTCAAGTTCCACAACAGAGAATGAGAGCATGATTGCTCTGGTTTCTGCCACTTTGTTTCCTAAGGAATACCCCAAACTGTGTTTGGGATATATGTTGCCCCTCTCATTATACATCTCCCTCTTGGTGCAACTCTTTAGCGTTACTTAAGTGCATTTCCCAGGCAAGACACACACAGTGGTCACTAACTGTGTCTAATTGTGATGACTATCCAAGCTGTCTGGTAATAAAATATTACTGAATGGTAGACTTTTGACTCTAAAGACTCTAAGTTTACTCTAAAGTTTAGAGTAAACTCAAATGTCGTTTAATTGAGAGAGAGAGAGAGAGAGAGAGAGAGAGAGAGAGAGAGAGAGAGAGAGAGAGATTCTTCAAGTGATGACAACTTTTTTTTTTTTAGTTTTTCCTGTGTGGTTAGGATCAGGGAAGGCCGTGAAATATTTGGTAAATGTCTCCATGTGAAGCCCTTTGACACACTTTAGTGATTAAGGGCTATTGTAAATACATTTGAGTTAACCCGACTTCCCATGTTAAATTTTTAGCGTGTGGTAAACAGTTGGCCTTAAGAGCCTTGAATAACACTCAAGTTTCTCACCCGTGATGAGGGCTTTAAGGATATTTTTTGTAATTTGGTTAATAATCTCTCTCTCTGGACGTCTGAACCAATGACTAAAGCTGAGTTGGAGAGAGTTTTCACCCAACCAGGATGTGATATCTAAAATGCAGTTAAAAAGAGCATCCAATTGACTTGTGTCATCAGGAGATATAGCGCTATGTAGCTGTGTATCATCAGCACAACAATAGAAATTCACTCTTGAGTCTCCTGTTAGTGAAGCATATTTAATTATATTTAATAATTCTGTATGATAAAAAAGGGCCTAAAATTGAACCTTGACATCCCACGTTAGTTCATAGACTTGTGAGGAAGAAGTATCCAAACTTAGCATAAAAGTTCTTCTATCAGTGAGGTGGGATAAAAACTATCACTTGTTTAAAAAAACAAAAAACAAAACAAAAACATGCCCACCATCCTAAACCAGCATATTCCACCATATAATGTTTTTGTTGTGTTTTCATGCCGGTTACATATTCTGCTTGATGCTGGAGAGCACTTATGATGGTCTATTATTTTATTTTATTTTTTTTTTAATGTTGCTTGCTGGAGAGCACTTATGATGGTCTATTATTTTATTAATTTTTTTTTTTATGTTGCGAACAGTCAGACAGCAAGATAAGATCCCCAAATCATTTTTGAACTTTTTAAAAACGAAAAA